TCTGTGATGGCTCCCAGGCACAGAGAGGAGTCACAAAATTAATAATCATCTGCCTTGTAGGCATTAGGTGTCTCTCAGTGAGCTCTCTGATGTACTGTAGAACCTCTGCCTCGTCGTGTGGGTGGAGTAGTCGTTGTTTGAGCGCCTGGTCTTTTTTTGACGCGCTTTTGCCCTTCAGTTGACGCGTCAACGTTGAGCGCACTACACCATGTTTTTTAGCTAACTTTGTATATGAAAGTCCTTCAACCTGACCTGCTGCACCTGCCTCTGCAAGGGCATCCTTCACCGGCATTGTGGCGTTGAGCTATTGTGGTTGCAAATAGTGAGGTTGAGCAGCCAAGGCGCGCGTTGCGAGAACATGCGCGTTGCGCGCACAGACACGGTATCGGCGTCGCTGACCGCATTTGGCAGAAAGCGATCACGGTACGCGCGGACTGCGTGTCGCGCCTATACTTAACATTAGGAACTACAGCGGCTTGTTAACGTATAAGTGTCCGGTTACACCTGGAATTAGAAGACAACTTTCTAGATAGCTGCATCCTAGGGGGAAATCTCTGCCATGCTGCAGCCGATGTTTGTCTTCACGATGTGTCGGATTTTACGCCTCATCACGCGCAGTCGCCCTATAAATAATAGTCTTTCCTCGACTGCCTGCTGCACCATTATCGATCACTAGACGAAAAGCCCAATCGTATAATCAACAATGACTTTCAACTCTTTGTCTGTAGCAGTCGCACTCGCGGTGCTGACATGCCTCTACATTTGGCGATGTGCACGCTCTCCTCTATCGTCAATTTCTGGCCCAATAGCCACAAATTTTGTGTCTCTCCGCTTATCGCGAATGAACTCTATGGTCAAGGTCTCTATATATTAAATTCTCTTCATCTCAAATACGGTCCAGTTGTCCGGATTGCTCCTGGCGAAGTCTGCTTCACATCGTACGATGCGCTCAAAAAGATCTACGGCTCACAAGGGAGCGGATTTGATGAGACGGAGTTCTACGATCTCCTCACAGTGTTTGGCCTAAGGTAAGAGGCTCTCAAAAGTCAATGCTGTGTGCAAGTCTGACCCAGCCGTTGTGTAGGACCATGTTCTCTACAATCGGAAAAGTCGATGTACGTAACTCCATTTTACATGGTTGACCTTGATCACAATGATAGAAAGCATGCGAGACGCAGGCGACTTCTTTCAGACCGTTACGCTAATAGCAATATTGTCAACCCATCGTCTCTCAATGGTATTCGAATCAATGCGACTTCCTTCATCGAGCGTTCCGGAACCTCGGCAAACGCTAGTGTTGACGTTTATGTAAGTATCGAAGCCTGCAAATGAAGGCAGGAAAACGTAATATAGATCATGTGCTAACAAGTCCAGCTACTGCTTCACTCATATGCTTGCGATTGCGCAACTCATCACATTTTCCACTCATACGGAATTGACAGTCTGCACAATGAAGAGGACCAGAGGTCTATGCATCAAATGAAGTTCCCACTTTTGCATGTAAGGATTGAAGCGATAAGTTTTTCCATCCACGCCAACTTGAATGAATGGGGTTGACATGCTGAGACTGAGCTGAAGTGATAGGGTGGAACGATGGTGTTCTGATGTACCGAATCGCGCGACGAAGCAAGCAATTCAGATGAATTGCGAACAGCAACATCATGATCGGCCAAAACTCTGCGCTGCTGCTTATGAGCAAGATCATCTGCCGTGAATCTGCTTACCACCTCTTTTTTGCCCGTTGCAAAAAGTCATATTGACATTACAAACTCAGCAAGCGCTGCTCAAGTTGGTTTGTACGTGATCAGATTACTGATTTGGAGGAATGGCAACGCAGTTGTGTGCACGCAAGCGACTGCAGAGATTGTAAGAGCCTATTCGCTCGATTCAAGCCGTTGCAGCATGATCAATGGTGGCGACAAATTTGTGATGAGGTTTCCAGTATCAAGGCAGATTGGGAGCTGTGTGGCTTCGCGCGAGCCTTTGCTGCGCTGGCGAAACGCATTACAGTCGCGATAGACGCTCATTGCTACCAGCGCCCATGCTATGATGTAGCACTGTAGGCGAACTCTGAGTCTTGGTATATGATGTGCTACACATTTAGGCGCGTACGTGACGCGTCAGGCCCGCAATGAGAGACTTGCAGCGAGTGTAGTTACAGAAGTAGGGGCGTCTTGGTCATTTTAGCAAGCGGCAAACGCGCTGCCGCGCAATCAGGTTGGAGGTATTGTTCACGATGATGTCTTGGTGTTGAGTTCGTGCCCCACCATTCCCACCATGGCCTTATCGCGCCCTCGTCTGCACCTTCCCTCTCTGGCTTCCAACCCCTCCTTGTCACCTCCGCGCATCTCTCCATGGCAAAGTGGCAGCGGGCAGCTCCGCCAACGGCGCATGCATCGGATGATACTAGTCTGAACAATGCCTGCTCGTATCTTACACCCTAAACATCCCTGTCTTCGTTGCTTGCACCTCATATAATCCCTGGAGTACGCCTCGATTGCACGCGACACCAGCAGCCCAGCATGGCGGACATCAACTCTAGCCAGGCAGTTGCACAGGATGACCTTATCATTCCAGTATGCGTAAATGCCTTATACTTTTGTTTTCTCTAACCTTGGCAGCTCATCGACTTTGGCTCCTTCCTCTCGGGAGACGCTGCAGCCAAGAAGGCCACCGCCCAAGCCGTCCTCGAAGGCTTTCAGAACACTGGCTTCATCTACCTCAAGAACCACGGCATATCGCCCTCGACCGTCTCGAATGCCTTCTCACACAGCTCCAAGTTCTTCGCGCGGCCGCAGGAACAGAAGGATGCCATGGCATGGTACTCGGCAGCAGCAAATCGCGGGTATGTGGCTCAAGGACGCGAGAAGCTCGTCCCGTTAGACGAGACTGGAACAGAGGAGGAGTTGCGCAAGACAGTGCCAGATCTTAAGGAGTCGCTGGAGATTGGGCGAGACGATCAGCCAGAGACACCAAACATGTGGCCCAGCGGAGATGAGGCAGCGAAGGAATTCAAGCAGGAGATGCTGAGCTTCTTCGAGACGTGTAAGGGTCTGCACATGCAGGTCATGCAAGCCATTGCACTGGGCATGGGTATTGAGGAGAGCTGGTTTGATAGGTTCACGGACGCTGGAGACAACACATTGCGCTTGCTGCACTACCCTGGTGTGTCCAAGTCGGTCTTCAAGAGGAATGATGGACAGCTGCAGGTGCGTGCTGGTGAGCACAGTGATTACGGTAGGTTTCTTAGTATGACCAAACCGAGAACGTGCTCATTCAATTCAGGCTCCATTACTCTACTCTTCCAAGACAAGCGTGGTGGTCTACAAGTTCGCTCCCCCAAAGGCACGTTTGTCGATGCCAAACCCATCGAAGGCACGATTGTCGTCAACGCAGGCGATCTGCTTGCGCAATGGTCCAACGACACCATCAAGTCGACAAAACACCGTGTCGTCGAGCCACCATCCCAACCTGAGGATGATGGCAAGGACAGCTACCCACCACGATACTCGATAGCATATTTCTGCAACCCCAACTACGAGCGCATGATCAAGGCAATACCAGGGACATATGAGGAAGCAGGGAGAAAGTACCAGGATGTGCAAAGTGGAGAGTACATTATTGGGAGATTGACGGCGACGTACTGAACGCCAGTGGTATACAAGAATTACATTCTGGATGAGGCCTGCCAGCCCCCAGCGAAATCAGCCTCCATGTTAACAATTTGTCCCTGTTACGAACAATGCGCTTCACAGGAGCCTACATATCCATCCCAAGGATGTAACGGCATTGACATGCGTAGAAGGAGACTACATTCGTCCTCGACACTCTTAATGAGCTCAGCCTTTCGACGCTGGAGTCCTTCAAGCCGTCACTCAACACCTAAGGCCTTGCGACAGCTGCACTTGCTTGCTTCGAGTAGTTTCAAACAAACGATACAGTTCTAATACTTTGTGTCGAGGGCTCCAGACTGCTCAATACCCAGATCAACCTAAGCAATCTCACTGCAAGAGGTCAATCACGGCATGCCACGGTCCGTTGCTGATGACATACAGTACAGCCTCACGCCCCTCGACGTGCGCACGCTTGCGGGTAGGCGACACGATGGCGCCTTCGGCACTGCTATTGGTAGTGAGGTTGTCCTTATCGGCGGCGACCTTGGACGCAATGGAACCCCTGAGTTGCAGGAGTACACGAGACCGCTCATCCTGGATGTTGATCTTCCCCATCAGCTCAGTGATTTGCTTCTACCTAGCCTCGACTCAGCACCCTTCTTGACGAGCTCTCCATCTCTCCCAGCAATGGTATCCGCGTACTCGGCGATGAGATTGTCATGCTCAAGGTTCTCCATGGTCTGCTCCGAGATGGTGACGTCCTTCTGAGTACCCGCATGAAGGGCAGCGTCAAGCTTGACTTGCAGCATCCTGCTTTTATCTTTCTCGGTCTGAAGCTGCCTCGCCAACTGGGACATGTCCTTATGCGCCACTTTGATGGCCTCGGAGTGCTCGAAGGTTTGTAGGGCTGCAATGGTGGCAGCATTGCGTGACATAAGGAAAACATCTTTGGCGGTAAGACCAGGAAAGGTGTTAGCGAAGCGACTAAATGGAGCGCCCTCGACGGGTTGCACGAGCTGGTACCAGCGGGATAAGGTCTCAGGGTCGGTGTCCAGGATGACGTCGAGGGCAGCTAGGTCATCGACTGGCGAAGTTATAGTAGCCATTTTGTTTGCGGTGTCGATGTGAGATACTGGAGATGGAGATCAGGATGCTTGGACAGTGGGACAAGAGATTGAAGATGTAGGAGTGGTGGCGGTGGAGGGGCACCAAGATCCATCTCAGACCACGTTGCGGCGGCCGTTGCGAAGTGAAAGGACACCAGCAACTGCACTACGAACGCCCGCCTTGCCCCATCTCATTGCGCGTACCTACATTTGCACCTAGGACTACGCTCTTCTGTCGCCGTTGTCAACTGCTGCGCTTCTAGGGTCACATTGGCATCAGGCCTTCCAAGTGCCAACGACGCGTCTACGATATGTCACGATATAGGCTCAGGTGGACATCGCTGACACTGACTGCTAGCTTTGTGACGAGAGAATAGGGAGACTCGAGGGTGTTATCCATGCGTTGCAGGCAGCAGCCCACCAGAAGGCTCGCACAATGACCTCTCTGCAAGGCATGAATCAGCGGCTCATCGCTGAAAAGACCTTGTTCGCGAACAATGCGCAAACGTTGAAACCCGACAACAAGGAACTAACCAAGCAATTAGCCGAGTCATACACGGAGGCGCAAGCACTCAAGCAAAGCATTAAGACGATCACAGACAAGGCTGAGGTCACCGAAACTCTCGATGAACGACCACAACCTAAAGCAAAGTAAGTTACGCTTCGCCCAAGAGTACGCACCAGTACTAACCGCACGACAGTTGTACGCCGAAGCGTCCTTCGGTTCTATGCATTCATTGCTACACACGAAGCAAAGCTTGCGACCGTGGTAGTCTATGTAGAAATTGCGCAAGGGTGAGCAGTCCAGCATTTCCAAATCCATCTCACGGGCTCAGTAGTTGATGTTCTTCAGGCCGAACGCACCTGTCAACGAGCTGTTTGCGATAATTTTCCGACTGGCAGTTGCTTGCGAAGTGTTTGCATACGGGTGCATCAAAAGTCCCATTTGATAGAAAAATGCGAGAAACGAACACTATTCTCTTTTAGCAGCACACGGTATCATGCTTAGACAAGCAGATAGATCATCGTGAACCCAACAACGACCTGCAATGCAGTGCCAATACTCTTCCCACTCACCGCACCATTCCGCTCCAGCGGCCCAGCATCATAACTACCATTCCCAGCCGTGACGTTATACATCCCAACCCCATCTTCCAGTTTGAAGCTGTCGACTCCACCATCTACACTGTCCAGTGGCGCTACAAGCGCCATCTGGCTCCAGCTGAACACTGTATTGCGCCCACCAAACACAAAAACCTCGAATCGTCCCGCGAACTTTTCGTTAACCCATACGCGACTACCATTGTAGATGTCCGTCTCGATGCGCAGTCGCACTGGGAGCGTGATGGGAACTGGTTCGTGGGTCGAGGTTGACACATTCGTCCAGATGCGACCGGGGTGGCCGGGGTCGTAGTCGTCGTAGGAGACGTTGCGGAGGGGATAGGGGAAGCCGTCTGCGGTGGTGAAGACGAGTGTCGAGACGGAAGAGTTGGTAGTTGCGTCCGTAATGACCTTGCTGATAGCCAATGAAGTATCGGCCCCTTTGATCGCAAATGAGGATGAGACGTTCAAGCTCAGTGTGTATGGTGGACCGAAAGAGCCTTTGCCGAAAGTCTGAGCCATCTGTCCATCTCGCTGGTTCCAAGAGATGACTGGCCTGTTGACCTGCGAAGTGGAACGCAAAGATACAGGTCGCCTGTCGAGGTTCTGCCCTGGTGCGTTGGATGCCAGGAATCGGATGGTTGCGTTTGTGTTCTCAGTTGTGATCTTCACCCCCCGTTTGCCGGCCCAGGCACGTGCTGCCATGATTGGGATGCCTTCGCGCATGGCGTAGTATGCTTCGAGTTGTGTAGTCGCATCAGGTCCATTGTCGTTCCAGGCAGCGAGTATCGCGCCCTTGTTGCCGCTGGCTCCAGGCTCGAGCTGCTCTGTTGTGTTGACGCGGTTGAAGAGCGATGGGTCCCATTGCCAGCCAAGAACGTCTGCGAAGTTCAGGGTTCTGCTGGCGTTGTAGAATTGCGGGTACGGTGCAGGAAGGATAGGTGTGTGGTCGTTCTTCAAGCTCATGTACGCCCACCAGTCTTCCGAGTTAACCAGACTGTATCCATCGTTCTGTAGTTGAATGGGATCGGATTGTCCATATTGCCAGTGCTGAACGATGATACCCTTGGAGATGGTGAGGTTGTCTGATGGCTCGTGGGTGCCCCAGATTCTGATTCGTTTACCAGCCGTCGAATTGACGAAGTCGGACATCTCATTCACAAAGTTAATGTAATCATCTGCAAGCTCAGAATCGTACTCATCAGCACCGATATGCACCTCCTTGGTCTTGAACCAGGGCAGAAACTCGCTCCAGATGGCCTTCACTGTGGGAATTGCATCAGGGTGGGTCAGGTTTAGGAGGTCCTTCTTCGCAAGCGCGAGCTCCGGCTTCCATTTCGTGATGGCAAGAGCGTGTCCAGGTGCCTCGATCTCTGGTATGACCGTCACTCCTCGTTGCGCGCAATGGCTCTGAAAGCCTTCAAATTGGGCGCGGGAGAGTGTCTCGTTCTTCCGTTCAATGATGCCCAGGAGTTCCGTGTTCTGCTCTGGGTAGAGCGAGAAGTGCGAGAAGACCTTGTTCCATGTCTCGTTGTGACCTCTGTTCAGAGGTGCGTTATCGCTGCTGTGATAATGGAACTCTGAGATCTTAAAGAAGGATGCATAGGTGCACAACTCCTTGAGAAACTCCGTTGTGTACCACTTTCGACCCGCATCGAGCATGTAGCCGCGTGTCGCATATGCTGGCGCATCGACTGTGCGACCTGCCGGCAAAGAAGATCCATTCGCGATCAGCGCTTGTTGGATGAGCGTTCTCGTACCCCAAAACATGCCACGGGCGCCTTTTCCGCCGATGTAAACAGTACTGTTGGTGATCTCGATCTCATAGCCCTCCTCAGTCGTAGCACCGTTTTCATAGGTGACCTCACCATCAGGTCCTCTGAATGGTCCTAACAAGATTCCAGATGCGTTCTCAGGAAATTGGTCGACTCGTTGAAGCGTCCAATTTGCGGTGGTCCAGGATGAGAGGTCTTGACGGAACGTTTCCGCGAATTGGAATGCAGTGGGTGGTATGAGAGTGAGACCTTCGGTATCTGAAGTATCTGCGAATGAGTTTTCGATATAGATGGTTTTGGACGCATTGCGAATTCCAAATCCACTAAAGCCATCCAATAAGGTGTTAGTGTTTGTCCATTGTACTGGTGGTAATGGCTGCAGAGCAACAGCAGTACCAGCAAATACTGCGAATGTCCGTATTATCATGCTGAGGGAAGGCTGAGGAAGGCGGAAACTTCGCGAAATCGCACGGCAGCTTTGTATTACTTATTAGGCGCGCGGTGCAGTCCCAAGGATCGCTGACGACCGTTATCATTCGATGCGTCCCCGCATGTCAGCCCCACTGTTCTCGGAGTAACATCCGCCCAAACCTAGGCAATGACATGCGAGGCACACTTGAACATAAGATCAAAAGCTCGCCCGGAATTCATCGACGTAACTTCGCAAGTGGAGGCTGCGAGGCGGACGGCAAGCGACGCGCACGGCTTTCAGGACCCAGCTGATGTTCAGGTCCCGGCTTTGCTCTCATGCCTTAACAGGTTGTTCATCCAGCACATCAAGGAATATGAACTTCCATGAGCCAACAGGCCTTTGGTGATTGAGATGAAATGACACTTCGTGTGAATGGCCTTGATGTATTGAAATGAGAGCGCCCAAACAGGAAAGGGCAATATCGACGCTAAGAATAAGAATGGACTAGCGTGTCTGTGCAGAAAAGCTCAGACGTGCCGAACAACATCATGAGTTTGCAGCATCATGTATCAATAGAACGCACTTGCATTTGCCGGAGTCTTTCGTTTCGTTTCGTTTCCCGTGATGGATCGCCATCAGCGCATCGTAGCGCAAGTAGCCTCCAAGGTGAAAGACTACTTTACACGCAAGGAGCCTTTCCGGATATCACATGGGTCAACCAACTCCACGCGTCCGAACCTCAAGAAGCGCGTCGTCGACATCAGTGGGTTGAGAAATGTCATTGAAGTTGATAAAAAGACGCGTACGGCTCTTGTAGAGCCTAATGTACCCATGGATCGACTCGTCGAAGCCACTTTGCCACACGGATTGGTACCGCCAGTCGTCATGGAGTTCCCTGGTATCACTGTAGGAGGAGGCTATGCAGGGACTGCGGGCGAAAGCAGTAGTTTCAAGTTTGGGTTCTTCGACAGGACGATCAATGAGGTTGAGATGGTCATGGCAGACGGTGCAGTCGTCAAAGCATCGGAGAAGGAGAACGCAGATTTGTTCCGTGGAGCTGCTGGTGCAGTGGGCACATTGGGAGTTACCACACTGGTCAACCTTCGACTCATCGAGGCGAAGAAGTACGTAAAGACGACCTACTACCCAACCAGGAGCATAGCACAAGCTGTTAAAGAAGTTCGCGAGTATACCGAGGGCGCAAAAGGGGAAAAGAACGACTATGTGGACGGCATTCTCTTTTCCAAGGATCATGGCGCCATTGTGACTGGAGAAATGACAGACCACCTCCCACCCAACATCAAACCGCAAACATTCTCTCATGCTCTGGATCCCTGGTTCTATCTACATGTTGAAGAGGCCACGCGCACTTCTAATGAGCCCATTGTTGAGTACATTCCACTAGCCGAGTACATGTTTCGATACGATCGTGGTGGCTTCTGGGTTGGACGATCTGCTTTCAGCTACATGGGCTTTCCCTTCAACAAGTTTACCCGTTGGTTTTTGGACGACTTCTTGCACACACGCATGCTGTACCGCGCCCTGCACGCCAGTGGGATTGCGACGCGCTACATCGTACAAGACATGGCTCTTCCCTACCCTAACGCCGAGAAGTTCATCGGCTACACCGACAAGGAGTTCAATATCTGGCCAATCTGGCTTTGCCCACTGAAGCAGAGCGAGCAGCCGACCATGCACCCGCATACTAAGGGTGAGCTGAAGGACACACAGATGCTTAACATCGGTCTTTGGGGCTTTGGGCCTCAAGAACCTCAGGAGTACCTCAGCAAGAACCGCGCACTTGAGAAGACGCTAGGCGAGATGGGCGGTATGAAGTGGCTTTACGCGCACACCTACTATAGCAAAGACGAATTTTGGTCACAGTTTGATCGCCAATGGCACGAGGGTCTGCGGACGAAGTACAATGCTGGTGGACTCCCTGATGTGCACGACAAGGTGCATGTCGACATTCAGAAATACACAGACATGGTGCAGAAGGACTGGAGTATGCGACTGAAGAACGTATGGCCGCTAGGAGGTTTCTGGGGTATCTACAAGAGCATCCAGAGCAAGGACTACATGATCCACCGTAACTCGATATGGAAGTGGAAGCGATTAGGTGCTTCGAGGAGATGGTGGATGTGGTGGTAAACGTTTACATATGTAAGATTACAGGAAATGTGAAATTATCCAACGTCCTCCGCGGAGCATCCAGGCTGCAAGTGTCGGCGCGCTGCACGGTGAAGGGCGCCCGCGTGACTGTACAACAACAACCTCAGACAAACCCTCCACTGACCAACGCGCCGTTAGCCAGTCAGTTGTTATCGCACGCGATCTGCTGCACCACTACGACGTTCCATGGCCACAGTTGGCGCACCGATGGCACAGCCTTCTTTCGATCAGACCGATCTCAACGACATCTTCTTGCGCGCCTTCAAAGACTGCACCACGGGCATCATCAACAGCTTGTCAACCGACGCTAACGATCCTGCAACCGCAACAGCTGTACAAACGATCCTTGCGCAACTCAATTATGATTACAATCGCCTTGTCTACGTTATCGACATCATCCAAAGTCGTGTCTACCGAGACCCAGCATGGGGGGATGCTGCTGTCGCAGTGTACGATATGATCGCAACTTCCATCGATTCATACTTCTCGCACCCAAGTTTGCCTATAAGAGGTCCACTGCTCGTACAGCATCATCTGATGAAGGTTTTACAAGCACAATTCAGGTCGATGATGGCAGCAGATACATGGAGTTCTGGCTTGACCCTCTTCCTAGCACAACTCTGTCGAACTGAGGACAGCATCGGTAGATTAACTCCTGGTATTATGCTGCACATACTCTCGGGAATGGTCGAATCGAGCAGATTGTTCGGTGGGGATAACCTCGATCTGCTCTTTGAGATCATCAGCAGTGCTGGGCCGGTTTTGGATACTCAAGCGCTGGATGTTGTTAATAGCTTTGGCGAGAAGCTGCAGCTTCTACAGGAGCGTGTGAAAGACAGAGGAAATGTTTCGGTCATGGCTGTGTTTGGGTTGATGAGACTGAGGGAGCTGGGGTGGGGTTCAGAGACTATCAAAACTTCGTAACTGCGTGGTGTGTATGGATGAGTTGACAGCATTGAAGGCTCAGTACTGTTCGATGGATTTAAAGATTTGAGAATGACTTCAGGCCTAGAATGACCATCCAGGAGGTTCTCAGGCGTTTCAGGTGAAGGTGAAGTAAGAAACGCTCGTGCCTAGCTTGTACTAAGTCAGCTGCTGCCCTTCACCTGCTTTTCTTTTGAGGACCTCCTCGATCTTCCACTCTTCTTTAATACGCATACAAACATTGCCATGAAGGTCGAAATCGCGAAAATCACCACGGACGCCTCTAGCCCGGAGGTTTTCAAGTACGGCACGACACGGCTGATCGCAGCTCTCCCGGTCAGATCGGCGACGAGACTGCGGTCTCGGCCATATGTTACATCCTCATGTCGTCGGCACGGACGCGAAGAAGCTCAGCGCTCTCGTCGACATCATCTATGACAAGGAAGCGACCGCGGCGACTGCATTGCGACCTTGCTTGTCAAGCTATTTCAACATGTTCTACGCGAGATCAACGCCCTTTTCGGACAGCAGAGTTCCCATGTTATCAAGATGGGCTATCACTTGGCACTCTACTATGCGCTCGGCAGGTGCCAGACTGAGTACGAGGTGGCCATGCAATCCACTGTCTGGCCCAAAAAGCCATTCATCGTTACTGTCGGTCTATACAGCCCCAGTAGCGTCACCGAGAATATTATCCGACGAATGCTCACAGCCATGACCGAGTCCGAGAACCTCTTCAACGCTCAGAACTTTGAAGTGTTCGCATGGGAAATTATGGAGAGCGGCTCGAAGGCATTGGCACGAGCTGCGAACGAGTCGTTCAGCTGCCAGCTGATGGTCGCGGGCCTCGTGTTCAGAAGCCAGAACGGTTGGAGTCGAGACGGCTGGAGGAGCAGAGGGGCGATAGCCACTCCAGCTTGAAGAGGAAGCTGGCACCCGGATTGCGAATGCAGAGGTAACGCGAGCGTGGGCAAGATTGGCACGAAAGGCATAGATAGATGGATACTGGAAACGGACATAAGCGGACTGCTGGAGCCGCTAGGAGGTATTCAAAAGCTGGAATTAATTTACTGGGAAAGGTCGTGCAATCAATCTTTGCATCCAGGCCTGGAAGGACATGTCCTAAATATACTTGTGGCTCGATCGATCAGCTATTGTTGCCAGTGGCAATACCCCAGAAGTACGCTGCCCAAGCGCCCAGGATAAATAAAATGAGAACAACGAACAAAGTCAAACTGATCTTCCTGTTCCTCGTGCCAGCCTCGCCATTCTCAAACTGTACCCTGCGATCATTGATTGTCTCGCCCTTTGCCATGCGCTGCTTCTTAGTCCACTGCAGCAGTCTTAGATCCACAGTCCAGTAGCTGGCCGCAAGCAGCGCGGTACCAACAACGGCTGACCCTGCAGCAAGGAAGACGTAGCCCTTGACGACGTTATCGTACGAATTGTTGTCGCGATCTTGAATGACACCTGTAATGATGCGAACAAAGACGGACATGCTGTTGTTGACTGCAATCTTGACTGCGTAGCCCGAACCGAAGACTTCTTGGTACCACATCGTTGTGCGAATGGAGTCGATGATGACAGTGGGTCCGAAAGATGTTGCGACTGCATAGATACCGAATGAAGCAGCGGTGCCGCCGATTGTAGGGCCCCAAGCGGCCAGACACATAGACAGCAGCATGCCTACTCCGCAGACGACTATGAGCGTGATTCGGTTGCCGAGTAGATCAATGAAGACGCCGATGAGCGGCACGAGGAAGAAACCAAGGTACTGCGACATGGCTGAGTACCATCCTGCAGTGACTGCGTCAATCTTGAAACGCTGCTCGGCCAGCTCAGTGGCGTTCTGGTTGTAGATGTTGGCTGTACTGGTCTCGAAGAGCGAGAAGCATACGACACCCCAGAATGTCCAAGGCAGACGCAGCAGCTTGCCGAACTCGAACTTTTTGTTGTTTTCTGTAAGCTTCTCGCCAGTCGCCGGGTCGACCATACCAGAGTACGTCTTGTTGCACCATTTGATGAAGAACCAGAACACCAGGGTAACGACATTGGTGAAAAGATTCATGAACACAGCGGTCCAATACACCCAGCTGAAGTCGCCAGTTTTCTTCGCGATGACGTTGGCCGTAGCCTTCCCGACGAAAGAGCCAATCTTACCAATGCCGAGTTCAAGACCCAAGGTTGATGCAAAGCCGTCGGAAGGAGCGAACCAGGAACTGAAGACTTTGTACTGGGCGACTTGAGTAGCAATGTCACCTAAGGCCTGAACGATGACACCGAAGACCATGAACTTGTATGAGCGTACGGTGGTGGCTGCAGCAATAAAGATCGCACCCACACTGAAAATGGCGTTGCCCCAAAGCATAGCACTGGCACCACCGATCCTGTCAGTGACAATACCACTGACCAGAATCAAGGTTGTCTTTATGAAGTCCTCAGATGCTTCCAGGACTGCATACTGAGCGTTATTGATGTGCAATTGCTACTTCTGTCAGTTCCGTTCGGCGACTTCGCATTGTCGTATTCGCGTACCTTCTTCAGCGTACTTTTCATCGCACCAGTCACTCCGCTGCTCCAGTGAGAACCGAAGCCAATAGCCGTAACCAGCAAGATAGAGATGAGCTTCATCTTGACTGGTACGAGTGTACTTCGGCCTCCCTCGCTCCTGACTGATGACCCGCTACTGGCGACAGCCACATCCGGCCCTTTCTCAGCTGAGATCGAAGTCTGATGTTGACTCTCGACTGAGCCATTGTCGTGAGCGCGCTCCATAGAGAGACGCATGTTGAGGTTGGTCTTGGACAACGACGTCGGAAGGCAATTGATGAAAGGCAGAGATGGGGATCAGATAAGATGATGGACATGCTTTTGTCTTATGTGTGGGTGCCATAGCGTCTTGCTCGTGTTCCTTGAGTCGCAAAAGCAACATCCGGTCCACAAACACCCGACATCATTGTGTATGATCCACATCTCACGCGTGGCTTGTCTCGTGTACTAGGCTGGAGTGAGCTTAGCGCAGCTGTCGAGGTGTGGTTTCTACAAGTGCGTTGTCATATCAACCGTTCTTTTCCGCGGCATCTAGCTCTTGCTAACATGTAACATGTAGTCGGAGAGGGCAAAAGCCCTCACCATCCCTTGTGCTTTCATAGAACTCAACCTCCTATAACTAAACCCTTGCATTACTAGAGAAGCAGTAGCTCCTCTTGTCCTCTGTAGTCTCAGACTCACATAGGACGTTAAACCAATCAATCAATCAATCAACATGTAGTCGGAGCTGATCGAAAGCAGTCTAGTGTATCGGTGGTAAATTGAGCGGAAGAGTTTTTATCGGATCATCTTATCTGATCCTAGCTCCGACCAGCACTTGGCAACAGCAACTTCGCAGCTTCGGACCGATCAAGGTTTTCCGTGGTAGTCACCGCTCTCGGAGCGTTGGTAGAGAGCACTAATACAAACGGACTGTACACATTGTTGCAGGATCCTCGTTCGATTGGCCGCTGTTTGTGATGGGTGCTATTGAACAGATGATCACATGACTAGACCAGCCTCTTGCTCGCATTTGAGCAATTCAGACCTGTTTTAGTGCTTCAGAAGCTGCCTCGTCTCTCAGTAGTTACGTTGGACGTCGCAAGCAAGGCTTCGTGTTGCAATGTCTTAGAGCTAGCCGCAGACACCTTCAGATGGCGCACTGGCAATTCGCACGTGGGGGATAGTGAAGTCGTTTGTATTGCTACAGAGCTTCCACAAGTCGTAGAATACGAGCCGGACTGAAGTCTTGGCTGAATCGCCTAGTACCAGTCACCTCCGATCTCATTTGCCTTGACCTTCTTAGGGTTCATTGTTACAATCCTCTGACCAGGTGTCGTGTCAGTGAAAGCACTTTCGAACACACCACTGATAGCTCTTCTGCCAATCTCCTGGAAGCTGTCGTACTCTTCGTTCTCGCCGGTGATAGCTGCCCACTCCCTGTCGACAGGACTTCTTCCAGGTCCAACGTCGCTCCATCTTGTCACCACAAGAGCCTGCTTGAACCGCTCCGCTCCATTGCTCTTCACAGTCTTATCTTCTACCATCTTCAGCTCGAATAAATATTCCGTAGGGCACTCCGGACAGCGGCGCATAGGTCTGCATTTCTGGCAGGTAGGCACATTGCCAACAGCCTTCTTGGGAGCCAGGCGGTCTTTGATTCCGTTCACCATATTCACCTCCGCAACTGGGATGTGATCAAGCGCGCATTTCGGTACCGATGTAAGCACGCCGTTCTTCCAATGACTGCATACACTGAAATATGGTGTGTAATCGTCTCTGCTGAACAGTAGCATGCGCTTGGCCGCTATTGTCATGCCGCCTTCGACGTACGCTTGTGACTTGATGCGCATCAGGACGTGACCTTTGTCGGTGACGTGGTACTTGCTCTCATGCGACCAGGGAGAGTATGGGTCCTTCCAGCGGCGTGCGAGTGATTGATGTGAAACGCCGTACTCAGGCCCAAATGCCCAGTGTCGCCTTGCTAATTGCACAAAAGCAAACGGCAACGTGCGACCCTCGCTGATGCGGATCCTCGGAGGCGGAAGAAGATTGTTTGTGAAGTTGGGGCACTCGAACAATGGGTTGAGCACATTGTGAGGCTTGAGTGTCTCGAATCCTGGCTGTATCCGAAGATGCCATTGGGCGCAAGGGAAGCAGAACAGATGGCGGGGTAGCTTGTGGTCCATCGCAAGTAGGAAATTGAGGCGATCAGGGCGGTTGACAGGGTCCAATAGCAATTTGTACGGTTGGCGACCCAGGCGAGTGAACATAGTGCGGCATGTCGACGAAAGATGAGCAACATCCAACGGCGACAGATACTCCGCTACATGCAGCCAGATTTCGGGAGATACCCCGCCTAACATAGCTATTCCATCAGGTTTGGTGGGGTCATAGAAGACTTCTTTGACATGGGGGTTTACTTCGTCAACAGAGTCGAGAGCCTCATTATATGTGAAGGCGTGCATCATGTCAGTAAGGTCTTTGCGCTCACCAGTGTCCTTGTCAAGGATGTCATCCTGGCGAGTTGGCGCTCGATGAGCCTTGCTTAGTTTCGTAGGGGGAGGTCGGGATGGTAATCTCTGGTGCTTGTTCTCCGCGCGTTCGTGGTAAATCTGTGGCAGCGAGCCCGTCCTCGCAGAGTTGGTAGTAGTTGTTTGGTACAAAGGAGCAGCATATTGTTGTAATCCCTCTGAGTTACGGCGATATTCGGCATCTGATTGCAGATACACCGGAATGGCACTTGATCCAGACCTGATTGCCGTGTATGGGTCGTCACGAAAGACGTGTGGCGGGTAGCCTGTGGTATCCTCATATGTTGGCGAGGTCGCATGTCGCCTGGCCCGTTCTCCACTGTGCTGACTGGAGAAGCTGCCAGAGTCCTGACGCCGTGGATCCGCTGTAATGGTGGAACCAGCATTTCGCGACATATCCATCCGTGACCCTTTCTTTGACAGCTTCTTACGTGTCCATGGCTCTTTTGGGGTACTTGATCGCATTCCAAACATGGCACGGAAGCCGCTTTTCTTTGGGGTGGCGTCTACCATGGTAGTTAAGTGTTTGTCGCACGCGACCGTCACGATTTGGTGTATGATATGTAGGGCTTGGATAAAGCCTATACCATGAGTCCAGCTATTGCGAATAGTGATACCGAAATGTAGATGTTGGAGTAGAGATGCACGTTGATGGGTGACAAAATCGCTCAACTTGGAACGATGATCGTCATCGTCGAGTTAGTGCGGTTACGGGACGCTTCGGCAAGAGTTCCCCATGTCCGCGGTCATCCGTGGAATTTACATCAAAAGCTCTAAGATGCGTGTCGTCATCATGCAGCAATGTGTATAGGAGCAACAGATAATACGGGCCGTCACAGCGTTGGGGAGGGTGAATGTCGTCTTTGAGGCGTGGAGACGCGTGCCTTTCGCGTTTATGCCAAGAGCACTAAGCCTCATTTGATGAGGTCACCCACAGCCCCACATTACCTCTCATCTCATCTCATCTCTGATCAACTTCATCTTGCCTGAAAGCAAACATACGTTCTACCTGCCTTGTGTCTGTAGCACACCCACGAAGTCCACATATGTCTGATACGCACTGGACATCCTCGAAGCTTCGATTCATCGTTGAACTGTTCCCTGCGCGTCGAGTGAGCGAAAGCGAAGATCTGTGTCCAGTCAGTCACAATCATCGTGCGCATGTCAGGAGCATCAACTGACCCGTTACTACCACCGTCCTGGTGCATGGGGCTTTCATAGAATGCTTTGTACAGCCCAGCCAGATGCCCCATACTCTTCTGTACTGCTTCACTATGCTAATCAATCTCTGATATTTATGTTGCACTCTTTCCTCTCTATGATTTTGTCCTTAGGCTTGAGAAGGCTTTTGTAGGTATTGCGCTGTGCTTTCAACTTTGCGACTTCGGCGCTCCTTTGTCTTACCGTTTCTTCAAGATACCAAACGTGGTCCGGAAGCTGCGTCAATACGTCCGGCGGCGACAGTTGAAGAAGTTCTTCCAGTTGCTGCGGGGTAGCGGAAGTCGAATCATCTGCACTATCGTTGCTGACTGAAAGTGGAGGCTCTAATGTGTCGTCGGCAGCTTTGAGGGCGGGATTTGAAACCGTCATGGTTAGTCGATTGTTGGGAAAGAAAATCCGCTATGATGTGCAAAAAACGCGCAAACAATGAGAGAAGCTAATCTTTGTGCACGTGGCAGTTCAGAACGGTTTCGTGATTGTCTCAAGTTGTGTCCTTTGAGCCACCTTCACTTTCATTCTACAGTACTAAGACTAAAGTTTGGTCGCATGAGCACAGGCCTCACCCCAACACCGTGATTGCATCAGCAACAACCCAACTTCCCACCCCATCTACACACCCAATATGAGAGCTTTTGGTGCTAAGATTTCTGCCGATCGATTGCCTGGTGGTGAATTATCAGAGCGTCAACGCGATTTTGCTATTACTGCTCTAGAGAATGGTGCGCAGACCAATGAAGTTGCTAAGACTCTCTGCTGCTCGCGTCGGACAATCCAGAGAACCGTCTCACGTTACAACGAGCTCAACACCAACGCCAGCAGACCTCGCAGTGGTCGCCCAGCTAGTCTAACGCGTCGCCAGCGTCGTCTCCTCCTTCGCATTGCCAGAAGATCTCCCAAAATCCAATACCGTACACTACTAGAGGAGGCTGGCCTGTGGCCTGACAGCAACCTACACCCTCTAGTCTCTAAGAAGACAGTCTATCGCACGCTCTTCTCACTAGACCTACGCAACTTCAGATCAAAGCGGAGGCCTAAGATCAACCGGGCCACAGCTCTACTCAGGCTCAGGTTTGCACGTGAGCACTCACATCTCAACTGGAAGCGGGTAGTAGTGAAGTTCAGTGATGAGTGCAGCGTTGCAAGAGGTTCTGGTGCCAACCAGGAGTGGAGTTTTCAGTACCCAGATGAGAAATATGATCACAATAAGGTGACAGAGAAGGAGTCTTCTCGTGCTAGGCAGCAGATGGTGTGGGCAAGCATATGGGTGACTAGGGGGGGTAGGGTTAGGCGTAGTCCTCTGGTCATCATGGAACGGGATACTACCTCACAACGCAGAGGCTATACTGCCGACTCATACATCTCAACTCTCAGTGATGGACTCCAACCTCACTATAACCCTATGGATATATTCATGCACGATAACGCACCTATCCACAAGGCCAAAAAGACAAGGATTTGGTTAGAGACTCATGGGGTATGGACTATGGATTTCCCACCATACTCACCTGACCTCAATCCAATCGAGCACATGTGGTGGGCTCTCAAACGGAAGCTCCATGAGCTTCACCCTGAATTTGATACACTCGGGGATACCCAGGAGGAGTGGGATTGCTTTTGTGAAGGGTTAAGAGAGGCGTGGTGGGCCATACCTGATACTCTGATCAAGAAGCTTATCTACTCAATGCCACGACGACTCAGTGCCTGTATGCGTGCACAGGGGTATCAGACTAAATATTGAGATCATGCGCAATCCAGCGCTTTAATCAGATTCAAATTTCACCGTGTGGTTGTTGAGATAATAGTGTGTGAACATTCACTCAAAAGTAGTTGTGGTGGTCCAAGTGCATCGGGCGACAAGACTTTTGTCCTCCGACTGTAGCAATCGTTGCCGACAATGCCGAGCTGTGCCACCTATCCACCTGATCACATAATCCCACGCTTGCTGACTGCTGTTTTTGCCCGTTTGTGTGATTCCTACTTTCTTCTCTTTCATCTTCATCATCATCCACCTTTTTTCGACACGCAGAACAATTCAACATTGCATCCGGGGCACTGCTCGTTCTGGTGACCCTACGGGGCCAGACGTCCATCTCAGAATCCAACAGTCACTTATTTCCTGCACAAGACCGAATCAGATCATGACAACACCGAAAGTTCACTTCTCACGACGATTCGCTACCATCAGCCTTGTGTTGACCGTGAGTGCGATTGCGAATGGTTAGGCGCGGCCTTTTGGGTGCGGCTACTCGTAAGTATCATCATTTGCAACCGGCCAGTTTCACTCGTAGGTTCTACTGGCGCCTAGACCTTATCGTCGATACTTTAGTCACTGTGCCTGGCCTTGAAGAAGGGAAGACATATTTACGCTGCTCGGTGACTGCCTCCGGACGGTTGTTCCAGACGTTTACTTTCACTTACCACCTCCAGCCCTCCGCTGCGTCGGTACTTTCGGTCAGCATATGCTCGATAGTCGTTTATAATCAATACGGCCGATGCCCTTCTTCCTTCCCTCCTTCATTCGAACTTCTTCGTGAGCTGCGACTTTCGAGCTCCACCCGACCCCTATGTCCTCCGCGCACGCCCTTTTCATAAGGATGGCATCGAGATTTCAGACTACCAGGACAATTTGATACCGGGTTTCTTTGCACGCCCTTCTTACATGGCGGCTGAGCCTGGACTGAGCGAACTGAGATTCTCCCTACGTCCACCGGGCGCAGACAATCTCGACCAGCTCGCCCATAGTTCACAGTCTTCAGGTCAATGCTGTTGCCTATTTTCGTGAAGTGTCTGCGAAGAGTTCGATCTTATTTTGGGAATGACCCAAGGTCATATGGAGCCTTGAAGCTTTCGGTCCACCCACAATTCACGTCGAGCGTTCGATGACCACTTCGGGGTTCCTGGTTACCTGGCACGTGAATTTCGTACAATTCTCGCTTGTGAGCCTCCTCTTAGATGCCCTGGTCTTGTGCCGGAGCTTGAAGAAGAGATATGCGGCATTACTTTGTCATCGTGCCTACAAGAACTACGCACCAAAGCTATTAGTACCGTTCCCGCCAACCTCCCCCACCAAGATGAAGTCCTTCACAATCGCATTCACACTCCTCAGAATAACCTTTTCCGCCTCCGTACACGTCTCGAAGACATCCCAAAGGTAGCACTTCGCAGGCTCCTCGTCCAAATGCAGCACCGACTCAGTCCATGCCGAGCTCGATCCGCAGCTGGAGTAGTCGGCAGCAGCTACCTCACCAGTAGGGACATCCTTATTGAACATGACACGGTTGAAGATCTGGTATGCAGTCTCGGGCTGATAGTACGGCACCTCATGACCCGCTTGAAAGACTCGCGCAAATGACAAGTTGCCATGCTGTCGCACAAAACCACCCACATTCGACGAATTTGTCTGAATGTCTGCGTATCCCGCCTTTTTGAAGTCGGCAGACCCTAGCGCAAGACCGATGGCTTCACCACCGAGCCAGTTGCACTGGTAGTCGCGATCACCGTACACAAGCGATACTTTGACGCCCTTCTCAAGGAGGTTGCTGAGTTTCTTGAGCCCGTTCCCAAGGACGAAGTCGCCTGTTGCGTTGAAGCCGACTGCGACTGGAAATGACAGGCCAGTCCAGTTGAGTGGTACACCGAGAGCTTGTTGAATATCGGCGTCGTTCAGGTAGCCGGCAGCCCACTTGGGAGGGAGAGTCTCAGGAAGGTTGGGTGCGGCGATGTCGAACTTGTTCTGCTGTGATGTTGTCAACAAACACCTGGATCAGGATCGGGGGGGTTTCACTCACGCCTGACTTGTCGAAGTCATCGTGTAGGTTCGAGAAACAGTACAAGAAAGCATCAAGACAAGCTTTGTTGACATCTGGTTGATTTCCCAAGCCTCTGGGGTCCTTCGCTTCTGCCAATGTTCTGCACTCTGCCGTGAGGTTTTTGCACTGTGGTGAGGCTGCAAGAGCCGACTCGTACTGCGTCTCATTGATGAACTGCAAGCCGTAGGTGTTGTTGTAAGCAAACTCCGGGTAGTAGTCGATCTGTGTATCGATGTCGATACAGGCATTGACGAGACCAATGGTATCGATATGAAGCTCTATTGCAGAACCTTTGAGACTTCCTCCAGCGATAAGGCTGTTTTGCTGTTCGAAGTAGTCCGCGTAGATGGGGTTGTAGTGGCCCGCGTAAGATTCGCCCCAGATGCTGAAGCGGTTGTCCTTCGACTTGTATCCGGGGAATTCCTGCATCCAAGTTTGCATGAAGTCATAGATGAATGGCGCAGCTGCTACCGTTGTATTTGGAGTGCTGCAGAAGTTCTGAGATGGGAACGTTCCGGTCAAGAAGGTGAGGTTTGTCTCTGGTACGCCGGTCTGAGAGAAGTTCGCTGGCTTGTACGCAAAGGGAGACGAAACCACGTCAAGTGTTCCGTTGACCAATCTGTCATATGAGTATCCGACTTGCAGTGGCTGATCGATGTATACCATGTTCACTTTGTCGTTCCATGACCACGGATTAAGCTTTGTTGTCTTAGAGTCTTCAAGGACGATGCAAGGACCGTTCTCGCCAACAGCAGCCTGGCTCGATGGTACCCCAGGGCCTCCCTGGAGCCAGATGGAGAGCGGAGCATTCTCTGCGTCGTGTCGAGCCTGGAAGAACCAGAAGTATATGTGGCTCTCGTAATTGCGATTCTTCGCTAGGTCAATCGGGAGGTTCACAAAGCCACTGTAGCCTGTGACACCTTCAGTTGTCTCGCATATGCTAGTCTGAGGGTCATTAGTACTGCTTCAATAGTACACTTTGGTACGACCTACCTTCTTGTAGGAGATCGACACACCAGGAAACTTCGTTGACTGTACGATCGTAACATGTTCTGGTTTCGGAGGGAAGGCCGCCGATGCGGCAAGTGCGAAGGGGCTCAGGGCTACGAGGGATCGCAGAATAAACATGTTCATCGGCATTTTGGATTTCTAAGCAGATAGGTCTATATTAGTAACGTTGGACCTATTGAATATGAATGAAGAGGCTGGATGTCAAACAACGCCTTCCGCCGCCATATTTAAGCTTCTTCGTGCCAAAGGCATGTCGTCGTTGCTTGAGCGCGGGAGCGTGGCTGGATAAACGCAGCGACAAGGTGTTTGCGTGCGATACACGACGGTTCGAAGCATGTTACTGGCCCTGTACATGGTCCAATACCGGATAATCATGCAAGCTTCGACTAGAGGCGTGAAAGAGCGGGAGGCTAGTTGGAAAAGCGGAGGCCTGCCGCGACCTGGCCGACCGTGCGTATCAACACCGACCGTGTCGCAGCTGCTTGAGACCTGATCGGGACTACACCATGCTGCCGTGTCTAGAGAGTTCCTCTTGGATGGAAACTTGAATCTTGCACGCGAAGGAGAACAGCGTTGTTGAAGGATGGCGCATCAGTGGGGCGGAGGATGTTTGAACGTTGTCGATCATTTCAACTGCGGCCTCGCTTCCCCGCATCTGCGCCTTCCTTCTCGCCAACCAAACACCTATCATCAATTATGTGGCGCATGGTGTTTCCTCGGTCGCAGTATGACCGGCCGGTGTTATCTTGACCGGTGATACAGCCAAGATGCAATACCGACCGACGACTCATCGCAGGCTTCGACCCATCTTGCGACCACCGCCTGGGAATGAGTCAGCCTTGTCAGCCTCCACGCGCACTACTCAGCGAAGCTGCACACAAATCACAATGATCGACTCTACATGCGAAGAGCGTAGAGGCAAAACCATCGAATATGACATTAAAGAAATCAAGACAGCTGTGCCTCCATCACTCCTTCCGTATCTGCAGCGCACACCCTCAGACCCCCGTCCTGTGGTAATCATGACATGCGGCCTTGCAGGTAATTCCCAAAAAGACATGCACACCGTGTACTAAGCCAACCATATCAGGGACCGGCAAGACCACGCTCGTGAAGTCCATACTCAAGCACCATCCCCACTTCACAAGGGTATCGAGCGACGCCATCCTCTTCGATGCTCACGGAATTTATGGCATTGACTATGCGGCATCTTTGTCCTTGTACAACCAGTATCAGGATGAAGTCGATGTAGTTTATCTCGAGACTTTCCGCAGACTCCTGGCTGAAGAGAAAGATATCATTCTCGAGCGGTCATTCTACGCGAAGGAAGATCGAGACGAGTTCCATGGGATAGCGGTAGACGGCGGCGCCAGAGTCGTGCTCGTGTTTCTGCGAGCGAAAGACAAGGAGCTGCTGTGGGAAAGGATCTGTAAGAGAAGTAGGGCGGAGAAGACAGCTGACAATGCACTGGACATTAGCAGGGAGACGTTCGAGATGTACTGGAGCGGCTTTGAGGATCCGGACAACGAGGGCGAAATTGTGATTGAGGTTGTCTAGAGGGTGTCCGCTATAGTAGTGATGAGAGGTTTACGACCGACCATTGCTTCTGAGGTGCTGCAACGGTTCTGGTGATCAACTGCTCCATCATCGCCTGAGACAAGATCAACACTCAATGATGCTTCTCATAACTCGGTGCTGGTTCGTATGCTGGCAACTGCTCTTTGAGAGCACGTGTTTCCTGAGCAGGCTGTATCGATGCTGCTTGGTTTGCGCTCGCAGAGGCAGCCGGTGGTGTCTCGTCCTAGCCGTCGTACATCGCAGACGACTCGGCAAAGGTCTCATAAGGCAGTGACACTAAGGTCTCTTGGACGCAGTCCCCATCCACCACTCATACGGTACATTAGCCGTAGCTCATAGGTCCTGAAGTTTGGAAAGATGGTCGGCAATAACTTTGTTTCGCTAAGTTCTGCGAGATGTAAACCATGGCTCATTACTTTGTTCCTCGCAATGAAGACTTTGCCAATGATCTCTTTCTCCGTGCTCTCGATGATATCACGGTCACCGGTCGCTCCCCTGTACGGAACTCAAATTGTGAGGATTGATGTAAGCTTGACGCGTATCTGTCGAACATAAACAGTAGGTATCTCAGGAATCTCGTGTGAGCGGCCGAGATGGTAGAAGGCGAAGGAAATTGGGATGCCGCTTCCTACAACCAGTAGGTATGGACGATGAGCCGTGATCTTCCATATTGCCTCATGTATTGCGTGCTGATATTTCGATAACGTCGACCACTTGAGCGTTGCCAGAGCACCCGGATTGTGTTCATTCTTGGGGTTCAAGTGATGACCCTTGAGGCAGAACTCGGGATGTTTGGGGCGCTCAACCAGGACAGCAGAAGTTTCCGAGGTGGCTATCGGCTGAAAAGGCAGCATCAACGTGATGATCTCGTCCGGCGACCAGTCCACTTTCTTGTGGGCAAGAACTTCGAAATACTGTATGTTGCTTTCGCCATACTCCATATGTTGGAAGTGGTTGACCTTCTGCATGCTCAAACTCAGGCCTCGGTTTATACATATCGCTTGGCGCCTTCGTCACTTCGTTCGGACATGTGAATGCGAACAGTGATTCCACTTTGCCACTTCTTCCAATACTGTTCAGGATTACGTAACTCTCCTTGGACGCCTTGGAAATGGATAGGCATCATTCAACCTAGAAGAGTTCAAGAGTACTTCTATAAGTGTGTTTGTGTTCGTGAGATGTCCCTAGTAAGAGCGCCATCCTGCATAGCCCTTGAACGCGATCCTTTCTGAATCCGAATTTAACAGTACCGGACATGACAGCGCAATGGAAGGTCTACAAACCCCTGAAAATTCCGTAAAGTACTTGGATTTCCTCAATGAATTCCTCAGGGTTTGTAATGAGGCACATGCAGATGTATGTGTACCTGCTTCGATCTGAGAACGAACTCTGGACGCGAGACCGGCATACTTGATCGACGTCCATCAAGACTGCATTGTCGACATCAAGGAGTGCATTTGCAGGACTTTAACGATTGATGGATGGAACTGAGGTTCCACGCAACAGCAAGCTTAGCCCCATAGTCATCTCGAAAGGCTCTGCTATGGCGCAGGACCTCCAAGCTTCAATGTAGTGGAAGATTTACTCACGCAAACGTATCTTCTATGGCTACGATACAACCGAGTATGAGCCCCGATTGCTCTCACGGATGGGCAGAAAAGCTTCGAATTGTGACCTTGCAGTAGCCTTTGGTCATAAAGCAATTAAATCAGGGAACATGGAATACAATTTTAATTGCGAGTTCTACAATATGCTATGGGTTGAACACAGGGATGGAATGGTGTCACGGTTTAGACTATGTGAGGAGAAGCCGACTATATACTGGCCCTGGAAGTTGCTACCCCAGAACAGTATATACCAGGGTAATAGGGTCTCAACCAAGACCACAACATATTTAAACACACAGAATAGTGAAATACAACCTCAGTTCAATCCTGCAATTCTTCCCACATGCGTACGGATCACTCACAATCCACCGCAACAGTTATGAGCCCGGTTGCATCCTAGGATTGTTCTCACCCGTTACCGCGTCCACCACAACGCACCTGTTACCGCATCCACCACAATGCACCCAATACCGCGTCCACCCACAACGCATCTGTTACTGCGTTTACCCACGATGCATCCTGCCTGAATCCACTCATACACAACTACAGCCTCTGCAATGTCTACTGAGTCTGACCCCACTGTCACATGAGTCACCATCATACTTGACAAGCCAGAAAATTGGTTCAATTGGTTATTCATCCGTCAAGACATTGCAGATCGCCACAATCTCTGGCAATACGTCAATCCTGACGTAGCAAAGGAGGATCTCCCTGAGTTGACAGAGTCCCCTAAGCCTCAACTTACTGACTACAAGGCGAGAGCTACAAAGCTCTCGGACCTGGGCACTGACGATTGAGAGTCCTACCGTTGGGAATGTGATCAATGGCAGCGCTGTCGCTCTGAGTACCGTACCCAGAAGAAGGCTTTGGCTGATCTGAAGTCGGATATCAGCAAGACAATTGCTGTACGCCACATACACCTAATCAAGGATCTTAAGACACCATACGATCGACTGGTTGCTCTCAAGAAGTTCCTTTGTCCAACAGACGCAACTTGCCGCCGTGAGCTTGCGGATAAGTACAACGCACTCAAGACTGCCCCACGAGCTGCAAAGAAGGTTGAACAATGGTTGTCTGACTGGGTATACATAACAGCTCAAGGCAAGGCCGTCGGACTACCAGAGACTGAGAGCAATCGACCACAGGAAGATTTCCTGATTGCCTGCAAGGCACTCGATCAAGAGTACGCCACATCCTGCCTACGTGAGATCTTCAAGCATGAAGCACGAGGCACCACCACTGAGATCTCATCCCTGGAGACATACGTTGCTGAGATGACTACCTACCTACGCTGTACGAAGCCTCACTCTACTGGCCTAGCAGTCACTGCCGCGGAGCTCGGTGTTGCATCTCCAATTGAGCCTCAAACAACACGCAATCAAGGTCAACGTGACAGTGTACGACAGACACCTACCTGCGTCTGCGGGAAACAGCATTGGTACACTGACTGTTTTATCCTCAATACTTGCCACCCAGGGCATCCAACGACATATCAGCCTGCTGCTGAAGAGGTACGCAAGGTTGAGGCAGCGCGGAAAGACCCTAAGATCAATGCACAAATCAAGACAGCTATTGACAGGTGGACAGCTCGTCAACCACAGAACGCTGGGATGTTACGAATTGACAACGGCAGGCCACCTGCTGACAGCAGCACGTTCGTGGTAACAACTGCTCCATCACTCATGGACCTTGACTCTCACAACGTCCAAAACAATGGCCACAACGGTCACGATGGCCACGACGACAGTGATGCTATTGCGATTGACGCTTGCACTGAGCCTCTGGGAGCTCTCACAACACTGGCTGTTGACGACACCGACCAGACTGAGCTGCTCAACCAATGGATCGTTGACCCAGGATCCAACACACATGTCATCAATACAGAAGTCTGGCACGGCTGGAAGAGGACAAACAACAATCCAGAACGTCGTTCTATCAACGCTGGCAATAGCCGTATTCTCATTACAGCATGGGGTACAATGGAGCTTGTCGCGCGCACACCATATGGTCTACAGGCGCTCGAGCTGACACACGTCGCATACGTCGAAGGCTTTCTCACAAGCGTCCTAGGTCTTGCACGCTGTCGTACAGAGTCAATTCACTTTGACTCTGGCCGCGACGTCCTGTATATGCACAAGTCTTCAAACATTATCGCGCAACTCGATTACAATGGAGGACACTGGCTTATTGATGCAGAGCCATCACATCGACCACCTCTATCGCTACTCTACACGCAACTGAGCACCTTTGGGGTGTCGTATCGCCCGTCGTACATGCCAAAGCCTACCAATGTCATTGATTGACGTACTGCCCATCAGATTTGGGGTCACCCAGGTCGAAAGGCTGTCGACCAGCTTGAGCTTAACGTCACTGGCGTTCAATTGACTGGAAACCACACGGATTGTCTCTGTCAGACATGTGTTGAAGCTCGAATGACCCACATTATTTCAAGGCGCCCGGCTGAGAGCCGCGCGCAGCAACCATTCTATCGAATCGCGATAGACCTCATCTACATCGTCTCTGTGGGAGACGAGTGTATTGATGGCAGCAAGTACTGTCTACACTCAGTGGACGAATACTCGAAATGGCATGAAATTTCTACAACAAAGCGTAAGGATAAGGCAACACTCACACGTTGGTTTATGGCGTTAATCCGCCGAATACAGCGTGTATACAATGCTGACGTTGTTGCTGTTCGATGCGATAATGAGAAAGGATTTGGCAACGACCTCATCAACATGACTGAAGAGCTGGGAATGCTGTACGAGCCAGCACCAGCTGGTATAAAGGAGCCAAATGGACTCATCGAACGTGCAGGCGGAGTGCTCACTCAGCGCGCTCGCGCCATGCGTATACACGCTAATTTGCCAAAGAAACTATCACACGAGATGTACTGCACTGCTGCATACATCCTCAATTGTACGCCTACAGAGACTCTGGGATGGAAGACACCGTACAAGGTTGTATGGGGACGAAAGCTACTCGTTGCTCATATGAGGCCTATCGGCTGCCGTGCCTATGTCTACAACCGCAATATCAGAGCTGCTGACAAGCTTCAATCACGCACTCTTATTGGCCACTTGGTGGGATATCAAGGTACCAATATCTTCCGCATCTGGCTGCCTACAAAGGACACTGTTGTAGTCACTCGCGACGTCGTATTCGAGCCTACACTCTTTTTTGAAGGGATGGACGGATACGCCTCTCAATCAGTAATCGAAGAAGTGATTGAGCTACTCAAGTATCCTGAGATGTCTGAGGACGACGATATCAGCATTGAAGATCTATTGACAGCTCGTCAGCGCCGCACAACACCTACGACCTCAGCTCCGACAGCTGCAGGTTCCCAGGTGGGGGGTGAGATGGCTGACAACGCATCGGAATCAACTCAGCAACAGTTGCTAACCCCTGAGCCCTCTGAGACAGACTCAATTCCAATGGTACCTGAGGGCTATCGCCAACGAGGAGAGAGAGCTCCACAGGACGTTAACCTCAACCCAATGGACACTAGTCTGATTGTCACAGGCAAGCGCAATTGAAGACCGAAAGACCTGAACAACTTTGCTATACAGTCCTATGCTACGAGACTGGGACCTGAGTGTCTTGTCAACTATCTGCAAGCGTTCTCAACGGAGATTCATTCAATACCCACTGTGATACACAAGGTACCACGCATCCACCAATTGCAGCTGCCCCCTATACCAAAGACAGCAAAGCAGCTTGACAAGCACATGTTTGGCAATCAGTTCCGACGTGCTATGGACAATGAATGGCAAGGCCTACGCTCCAAAGGCGTCTTTGGGAAGACTGCAAAGACAAAGGCCACTGCAGACGGCGAGGTACTACCGTTGATGTGGGTCTTCGACTACAAAACAGACAGTGACGGATATCTCATACGATTCAAGGCTCGACTTGTCGTTAGGGGAGACCTTCAAGCTCCACTGGATGATACATACGCTGCTACGCTTGCAATTTGCAATTTCCGTGCACTCATTGCAATTGCCAACTACTTTGATTTGGAACTGAAGCAGTACGATGTCCCTACTGCCTTTCTGAACGCAAATATCAACCGAACACTGTACGTTGAAACCCCTGAGGCATTCCGTACCAAAGGTGAGATTATGCTGGTACTCCGCGCCCTGTATGGCCTGAAGGAGTCACCAATTCTATGGTACAATGAGCTACGTCAAGAGCTCATCAGGCTAGGCCTGAAGCCAGTTGAAGGCTTTCTGTGCCTGTATACAAGCCGCTGGCTCATTCTATTCGTCTACGTTGACGATATTGCTATGGCATTCCACCGATCTAATGCCCGTCTCCACCAGTCCCTTGAGAAGGATTTGGTGAACCTGTACAACATCAAGGCTATGGGAGATCTTACCTGGTTTCTTGGTATCCAAATCATCCGTGATCGAGCACTGCATAAGACCTGGCTAGTCCAAGACGCTTTCTGTAACGACACAGGTAAGAGAGGACTCCGATATGGGTTCGAATCCGCTACAAGGTGTATGGGAGCACTGGGATAGATAGAACTAGGAGTAAACCTCTATTCCTATAGGTCTTGTACGAAAGGATACTCAAAAACTATCTACCATAACTATGTACACTGCCCTGCTTATATATCTAACAGCTCGATGTAGCTCGGGGGATACCGGTAGGTAGTAGGGTAGGGATCGGTTAGGAGTCGGATAGCAATCGTGTGAGTAGTATGAGGAAGAAACGGTTGGTACGGTTCTTACATTACTCCCCCTCCCGGTAGGCAGATCGTCCCTGGTCTGCAAAGGCGAAAATAAACGTGCTCTGCCCGACTTCCCTCCGCCTTCTACCCGACACGGATGGACGTTAAGTTTGGACTTGCTTTCACCTAATTTTTCGAGTTTATATAATTTGGTGAAGGCCAGTATGACGTCGACTCCATTTCCTAACTGAGAACTTGCTTGCGGTCCAGCCAATCGACGCGTCTTGTACCGGAATCGGAGGTGAAGCTGTCTCCAATCTTGGTGACTGTGGCAACAATCACAACACACAGTCACCGCGTGTTGTTGTCGCTCAGCTGGGCCTAGCGTCGAGCCTGGAGTATCATATCAACCTCCCATACCACGGCTTCTGGTGGATAACGGACACCACTTCTTGCTGCAAGTATATCCAACTCTTCTCGAAAACACTGCTAACCCCTCAGGCTCGTTTCTCGGTCACCATGCCGATACCAGTCCCACCCGGTGCTCTTGCGGTGGCCCATCGGGTCATCTGCCTTCGTTCTGTGCGCGCTTTCGCGAGGGGGATCGCGGTGGCGTACGCCTTCCAAAAGGCGACATCAATCCGGTGTGCTTACTGCACACAGCAAGGCGCTTTGTGCTGCCCGGTAGGTACCCCCTCTTGCCTCCCGCTCGTGCTAACCTTCGCTTCAGATCCTGATCTATGTCGGGGAGGAGTACGAGGTGCTGCGGAACGCTCTGTCGGCTTGGAAGGAGGCGTTGGAGGGGGGGGTAGGTGAGGTTTCGGAGGAGGAGCGCGCTGCCGCTCAGTTGGTGTTGGATGCTGCGTGGCGGGACCTTCGCCAGTCCGCTCACGCCCTTGCGAGTGTGGTGCAGGTGGCGACTGCGCAGCTCAAGGGGGTGACGGCGGCTGGTGTGTTGTTACACCAGTACCATGCCCAACCGGCGGTGAGTCGCGCGTCCCAGAGGGGGGTGGGCGAGGTAGCGGACGTCCTACGGGACTTGCGGGATGAGCTGGTCGAGCTCAGGGGTGAGGTGGCGGAGTTGAGGCGGGTGGTGGCCTCCTTGCCAGCTCCAGCGTCGGT